AACATTGTTTGGATTTGATCAACATTGTTGAACACTGAAGATTGAAGATGAAGACACAACCAAGTTTGTTATTGAGAGAAAATTGAAGATGTGGAATTTTGCCAAGGTGGAGATTTATTGAATTTGACAAAATGTTTGTCCCACATCGGTGGGAAAACAAAAGTTGGGGGGATTTTCCCCGTATAAAAGAAGGCTTAATGTTTAGGATTTAAATACACCTCTCATTTGCCTTCTCATCTGTTTAATGCATTTGTATCTTCTCTCTTTAGTATTATTTCACTTGTATTTTTGGAGTGGAATAAAATATTGGTTGTGTCCGAGGAGTAGGCAAAATTAGCCGAACCTCGTAAATTATGGTGTTCTCTTTATTGTTGCTTTATTGTCTTATTTATTTATTATTTGGTGGTTGTCATAATTTTTGGTATAGTAGTTGTGACTTATTCACATTATATACATTTGGCTTCCGCAACAGGGGCTTCTTATTCTGTTGCTGTATGTATTCTAGTGTTGCTATACATAGCATTATTTATGAGAGAAGTGAATAGTTTTCTAATTGCTCAGAATGATGTACTTAAGTACTTCAGGGAAATATATTCTTATAAAATAGAACAATGATGTGCTTTAGGGAAATATATCGTTATAAAACAAAACAATGAAGTACTTTAGGGAAATATATTTGGGGTAGATGAAGCTGTAATTTATAGGAAAGGGCAAAACATACTTTGTGCCCATTACATGTTTGAATTTATAGTACAGGAGTCCAACCATCTTATGAACTGTAAGGATTAGTATAGTGTCTTTCAAATTTATGTTAGGTGACAACTTATCCTAACTGGGATTAAATCCTATGTTGCTCATTTCCTTCAAAAATGCTGCCCAGTGTTTCCGATCATCCACAACTAATGTGTTTTATGGAGGATCTGACCGGGGTGCTGTGGCATTTTAGGAGGATCCGAGCACCATAGGTTAAACTGACTACAAGTTCTCTTCCAATCATTTAAGATATTTTGCATATGGTTGCTGGAATGTTTAGATTCTTCTGCTACCGCCTGAGGGTAGGTGTAGATGATCAAGATGGAGATGTTCAGAGTAAGAGTGCGCAAGGCATTAGAGCAGCCGCCAGCCAGTGGTGAATGACCTTTAGTTCCTGTCTGGTGATGAAGAAATCACTGAGGTAGAGAAAGTTACATGATGAGAATTAGGAAGTAAAACAAAATAATGTGATTAATGTACAGACTTATGTTGTCCATCTCGCTCCGTGCAACAGCACTGTTGTTAAAAGAAGCAGGAGTGTTGGTTAGCTCGTAGGTCGTAAAGAATGAGCCACAGGAGTGTAGCTTCGAGGTGGCTTCATTGCCTGGGAAAATGGGAGAAGATGATTTCAATGAGATCCCAGCCATTCAAAGGTTATTTTCGATGCGTAAATTAGAATTGGAGTTCTTCATGACAGCTTGACCTTCCCTGTGGCCTTTGGTGTGACCGGGTCTTGGTTGATATTTGGTAGCTGTACGTGTTTTGCAATTCTCTTTATTAGACTCATTCCTTTGCTGCTTTATGTATTTTTTTATTGTTCCATTGCCTGTATGCGTCTCTGTTTTCCTGGCTTCCAACAAGTATGCCTCTTCATCTTTTTCTTTGCTTGACTTGTGTATTCTCAGAATTACAAGATGACATGATTTTTTCCCCACATAGAATAATTATCTTCGAACTCCACACCTGACTCAGAATCTGGAAGTGTCTGCCCCATGTGGTAGATACCTGCTTTCCCCTTTTGGTCTATTCTCGTTCGATTTGGTTAACCTTAGAATATGACATGACAAACTTCTCGTATGTATATTTTTGAGGAAATTAGAGTCTATTTGCCCTCGTGGGCAAGTATACCCCTAAGCAAGCTATGCTTGATGATAGAGCTAACAGAGCTTGTGAACGTGATGTGTAGCTTATCTCAATTTAGGTCTGCCTCGGTTTTTCTTTTCATCTGCTACCCATTGAGCTACTTGAGTATTATAACATTTCTATGCCCCTGATTTTCGCAATGCGAGGAGATTCATTTTTTATTTTTTTCACAGAAGTTTTTCTGTAATCATGGGTAGGAAGTACAGTATCATTTCAAGTTTATTTTACCAAATGCCTTTCGAATTATCTTGGTTGGTTATCATAGCTCGTAGAAAGTTCTTTAAACTCAAGTGTCATTCCAATAATCTTGGTTGGTTTTCACAGCTTGTAAGGAAATTTTTAGTTTTGTACTACTTGGCGAGTGGCCTATCTCTATGAGCCCCGGCTCTACTCAGCCCATAGGAAAAAGATCAAGTGTCTAGCTCGCCTTGCTGGTAAATCAGCTTTTGTGTTGATTCATTAGAGAGGTCCTTGCCGCAGACAGAGGCATTTCTTTGTCGGTGGAGCTGATGTTTACACTCCTACGTGACTGCATTTGTTTTTTAAGTCAACTAAGTGACATTATTACTTCCCAACATTTCATGTTTTTTTTTTTTGTTTATTTGCAGTAACAGACCCTGCTATTTGTTCCCCGGAGCAGAATGAAGTTGCTGCAATTTTGGCAAGCCAATGTGAGAAGCTTCTGTCCTGCCAAGCTGCCAGGCGAGCTCAGCAGCAGGCCTTTGGAGCCACATTGTCCGAAACACCAAGCTCAAGCAAGCCCGTCAATGATGATGCTCTTACACCTGCTGCTACTGCTGAACAGAAATATGGGGAGTCCATACCGTGCAGTGTTCCTATGACCAGCGCCCCTTCAACCTCCACTCGTTCAGCTCCATTGGACTCAAAGTCAAGCAGCTCAGTGCTCCGCAGCTCGCAGGCTGCTGAGGAGCAGCCTTACTGTTCATCCGTCGACCTTCTGCACTCAACAATCGGGATGTGGGAACGGGTTGTCGCAGATAAGAAGACAGATCAAGAGGTCACTGAAGAGGGGCTTCGTCACTTCTACGAGGTTAGTTTTCTCTTCTTTTTTTTCTTTCTTTCTTGATGAAGTTAGCCTCTAGCCCGTCTATTAGAAACGGCCTCTCTACCTTTACTAGGTTGGGGTAAGGTCTCTATACGCACTACCCTCTCCAGACTCCACTTGTGGGAATATACTGGGTTTGTTGTTGTTGATGAAGTTAGCCTCTCCTTTCACCTTTGTTTCTTCTCTCTTTTTTGTTTCTTGATCTCTTTCCTCTCTTTTTGTAGGGCATGAACTATTTTTGTCTTCAGTTTGAACGCCTTCAAGTAGCAACTGCCAAGTATAACGAGGCAGCAAAAGCGAGTGATGACCTGGAAAATGCAATGGATCCTTTAAAAGATAAGCTGGCAGAAGCCTATCGGAAGTTCAAGGACTCTGAGAAGGAGAAGCAGAGGCTTGAAAATGAGTTGTCTGGGGCTGCGAACACAATCACCGCTCTAACTGGTGAGAAGGAATCCCTTTTGCACGTTCAGACAATCCTTCACCAGAAAATCCTCGAGCTGACAAGGGAGTTGGAGGAGGCCTATCCTGCTGCTATCCGGAAATACAAAGCTTCCTCCTTGTACAGACAGGAGCTCATGGAGTATGCTGCTCCTTACATGGGAAAGGGGGTGAAGCTAGCCATAGAGAAAATCAAGGCTAAAGACCCCACTTTTGACCCCAAAACCTACGGCCTGGAGATATACATGCTTCCTCCAGAAGCTGATGTCGATGAATTATCATCTGAGGAGGAAGGTGATGGTGGTGCCGAGCAAGAGCACAATGAGGTGAAGCCAAGTGCTCGTGCTCGAGATTTGGCTGAAGGTGCAAGTTTATGAGACTTTGATCATAGATGTGTCGTTGACATAAATGCCGACTAGGCAAAAGTTCCCCCGAGCACAGCTTGAAGCTCTATCTATTTTACCTATGCTTGCTTATGCTAATGCAACTTATGTGGCCGCTCTATCCAGAGGCGGAGTCAAGATTTGAAGGTTATGGGTTTGAAGTTCTAATCCTTTTAAGTTTCTAGGTTCTATATCAATAATTAGTACATATTCAATGTATTTCATAAGACAAATACAGAGTTTGGACCAAAGCTATTGGGTTCGGCCGAACCCGTAACTCATGGGCTAGCTCCGCCCCTGGCTCTGTCTCTGAACAAGTATGTTTTGCTGCTCTATTTGGAGGTGTTAATACTGAGTATATATGAATGAATATGCTAAAGATCAGATATCTGCAGTATATAGTGTTATTTTTATCTGTGCAATGTGCTTGATTTTCTTGTGAACTCAATTAGTTTGAGTAACATTATTCTTAACGTAGGAAATAAGGAAAATGAACTGAAAGAAGTATGTCCAAATAATTTCTCCAATAATGAACTGAAAGAAGTATGTCCAAATAATTTCTCCAATTCAAGTGGCTCACATGCTTCACACTAGATAATTTTTTTGAAGATAACTATAGTTGTGTCTTTAAATATAACAAAGATCAAACATACTCAATTTGACAAGTTGAAATAATTAAGATTGTTCAAGTCAAGTAAGTATATTAATACTAGGGTTCAAATATCACCAAAGAAAACAAATATTATACAATTTCTTCTTAGCTGTATAAGCTTTGATGGACATGTAGTACCTGTGCCGGTGAAAGATAATGTTATGTAAAATAGTCGAGGATGCGCAAACTAGCCCGATACTACTATTAATTAAAAAAGGACTTTTTTTACTTTTAGCCTGCGCCAGAAACTAGAGTCCGGAACCAAAATGTGGTTCTTTTGGACTCAAAGAACCAAAATGTGAAAAAAAAAATTGGTGACCAAAATATATATAAAGCCCTAGCTAAAGGCGCTAAACCTTAACGGCTCTTTGCCCAGTTAAGTATAGCGTCCTTATATAAGGCGCTATATA